CTATTTAAATCCCCTTAGATTCCCCAGTTGTGCAGTCTGCCCTGTCCTGAAACTTGCTGCCAGGTTTCTATTCCTCGCTAAGGACCAAAATCCAGTAAGGGAGCATGTAGACTGTACTTATCCAGAGATGAAAGCTGACTTTTAAATATGCTTTCTTGGAGCAGTCTGCTTAACAACCTGTTTTCCTGTGCAGCCGTTGGGTTTTGCTTTATTCCGTAGGCAGAGTTTTTTTTCTGAGCACATTAGAATGTGTGTCGAGCCGCCTACAGTGAATTCTGCCTAGTCAAAGCCTGTACCCCTCTCAACACAAAAGGTCAGACCTAGAAATTACCAAGTTAGCTTTGATTTTCCTAGACGCTCCCCAGGGCGGAAGGTTTCCTGGAGGCTGCACTGTTGCTGTAGCACTTTGGCAGTCCAGGCAAGAAGAGCGTTTGGTTTGATTTCAGCTGATGCTGAATCAAAAGGACTTTCCTGTTGTGTAAGCACATGGGATGTTGGTGAAAATATAAAGAAAATCAAATTAAATATGCATGCAGTTATTACTTGAGCTATTAAAGGGGAGGAAGATTCTTTCTGCAGTGCAGAATACTTTCTCCCCACCTCTTTTTTGGGTAGATTGTATGGAGGATCCTCCTTGTTCTTGTTACAGTTGTTTGACTTACCTGTGACCGATGGCCTTGGTGACACTTGATACTACTAACAAGTAGCATCAGGAAATACTTTGCATATTAAGCTCTCTTTAGTTCAGTTAGGCAACTGGGAAAATAAGACAGCACTTTGTGCTGGATTTGCCATCTGTGGGTCGTAGTTTAGGTCTCTGTTTTCAACCCAGGTACATAGCTAATGCGTGCTGTGGGTGATTTGGTGAGACATTTTGGTTCAGGTCTTCTGTTTAGTATTCACAGATACCACATTATACGTGTGCTTGGATGGTTAACTTTCCACTCTAACTATTTTCTGTTCTTACAGCATGTAGCTCCTTTTGCTCTTTTGAGATTAGTTATTTTGCATGGAACATATTTGGACTCGAAACTTGCCTTTTTGCCCACAATTTCTTTTCAGGATGGTCGTGACACATTGGGTTGCCACTGCTTTTAAGTATGTAGCTCAGAAACTTCTTCATTCACTCTTCTTCATTCATAATGAAGCAGCAAGCTGAGATGTCTCCTATCTTGTGGAAACTGATTTATTCTGCTGATGGTGACCCAATTCTTTCAGTTTTCCATATACGTAATGGTGATGCACTTTAAAGCCCCTTGTTTACCAAAGCAGAGAGCTGTTCTTTGTCTGCCGAACAACTCCAAGGGCACTAAATATGTCTGGTGGCTTCTACTTTTTGGACTTTCAGTGCTGTTTTGAGTATGCAATCTGATATTTTTCACCACATGCTTACTGTATCCATATATGCTTCATTTTCCAGCGCATCGGAGTAGAGCAGTTGCAGTTTTCCCCCCTGATCTATGCAATTTCCTATGACAAACTCAAAATGTAGTTATTAACTTTTATTTCAAAGTAAGTAGAAATCGCTCACTTGTTTTTGTACACACATGGTACACACGGTGTGAAGCTCTTTCCTGAAGGTCCTGAGCCTTGTTAGCCTTGGCACCTACCCCGGCTTGTAGAGCCGAGGACTTTCTGCAAAATTCCTGTAGACCTCCCACTTGCCCTGTAGAGCTTTGCAGTTTCACAAGTTTGCTCTTCCAGCACATGGATGTGTGATGTGCAGAGGTTAACTTTATAGGTTTTCCCTTTTTTTTTCTTTTTTTTTTTTTCTTTTTGGTCTGTGGCTGCTTGCCCTGTGCACCCTGTCTCCTAAGAAAGTCTGACCTAAACACCTGCGTGAAGATCCTGCTGCTCTACTACACAGGGAGTAACTAGGTATTAAAATACCTAACGTGTAGAGGTTAGCCCAAGTTTTACAGATTGCTCTGGGTTTGTTTTCATTTTCCTCTTAAAATTCACAGTGTTTGTACCCTCCTACTGGGAGGGAAGAAACACAGCTTTCAAATGCTTCAAAAATTTAGCATCTCTTGAACGTAGTTGGTGAGTTATTCCTGTTCTGCAGGGCGGTCGAAGAGTAGGACGCCTGTTCTACTGCCAGGCCCTGGGGACAAGCAACTGCTTGTCTAGGGTAATTGTTAATTATTTGCCACCCAGAATCCCTGAGCAGTGTCTCTCCTGCAGGACAGAAGAGACTTCTGCGAAACGGAGCTTCCTGTGAATCTGTTACTAGATAAACTACTCAGCCCTGTGAAGCTGGGCTTGGGACTTTGGTCTTTGTTCTCTAAAACCTCATAAAGCCACTCGGAGCTAAATTAAAACCCCGATGGTGCCACTGGCTATAGTGGAGCATTAAAGCCCATCTCTGATGGGTCTTTTACTTTTTTTGTTTCATGTGTTTAGTTTGTAATAACTGAGAAGGGAACTGTTTAATCTTCACAGACTACTCTCATGCTGGTACAGGCATCGCAGCTAGCTGAAGGGCTAGCTCTTTGAATTTCTGATTTTTGTAAAATTTATTTTCGGAAGTGGTAGTGAATTCAGACTCGTGCAGGTAGAAAATGGTCTATAGGTTTCAGTCTTTGCTTCCATATATGCCATTATTTTCTCTCACTTTGTGTTTTTACATATCCAGCTGTAATTGATGGAATAAGAAGGTGGGTTTCGTTATTCAGGATGATTTATATCGTGACTTCAGGGAAAGATATTGAGGTACATCTAACTAAATAGACTACCAGGTGATCCAAGTGAACTATTGTAGAAGTTATAGAGCTTGTAGCAGAGCAGAAGAGTGGATGATGGAGAAGAAAACTAAAGCTTATAGAACAAAATGACCCAAAATAAATTCTTTTGCATGCTAAATTTTTCACAACTGTTGTTGGAAAATGCTTGTCTTAATTTTCTCAGCTGCTCACCTGCAGGTGATTCTGCATTTACCGGGGAAAACCAGACATGTATTTGTCACCTATTCCTTATTGTGTTCTAAAAATAAAAATCCAGTCCTGGCAGGTCATTGCTACAACTGGAGTAACAAGAACAATTCTGGTGCGTGGTTCACGTAGCGCGTGTTAATTGTTGTGCTGAGCACGTGTGGCATTAGGAGCTGTAGAACAAGAATTAAGACGTGTGTTTCTGTCCACAGGAAGACAGGTTGACATGTCTGTTTTTCTGCGTGACTACATGGCTCTGTTCTGGTAGCTGGTATGAAGTAGCAAAGAGCCAGAAGTTTATATGGGAGCTACAGCGAGGCAGTTGCCCTGCTTCTCTGGCTCTTAGAGAGGCCTGGGGTGAAGAAAAAGAGAATTAAATACATCATTCGTGTGACACGCACTGTCACCTACCACTAGGGAATGGTAGAGAAAAATGAAAATATGCTGGATCAAACATTTAATTTGGAGTTGGGGCTGAAAGGCTGTTGCGTCTTGTAAAACATAACGACTTCTGTGGTTTCCATTTAACCTTTGAAAACCTTGCAGTGCGTGTGTTGAAAGCCGCAGTATTTCAGTGCCAGCCCCTGCCAGCTCCTTGTTGTTCCCGTGTGTTCAACATGGCCTGAACCTGGAAAGCGGGAACAGGGAGGGCTGCTTGCTTTCATGCTAAACCCCAAACTGCACGTATGATTGCTGAGGTTCATGGCTAATCAATCTCATTTTTTTTTTAAAAAAAAAACACACAGTTCTTATTTGCAAGAGAAAGACTTGCCTCTCAGTGCTTGGGTTGGAACTACATTGTGCTGCAAAAGGCAATTAACTAGTTTATATCAACAACTTCCTCCTTGGCTTCTGACTTTGCAAATGAGCTTCCTTATTCCTGAAATGCTTGTGGCCAGTATAGCAATTAAGTGGCAAATCAAGTGTTCAAGGTCATTTTTGAGGTCAGTTAACAACAGGAAGTTAAAGATAGTTGCTAGCTTATTCCCCACTGGTTAATGTGGGAAATTTAAAGCTTAAATTTAAAGCTTAAAGTGGCAAAATGTACTAAGTTGTGCTTGTTCAGCTTCAGCAGTGAGAAAGAAGAACAAGGTTGATGTAGTCCAGCTGCTTTATTCCTCTTTTTCACTTTGTATTTAGATGAACTTCAGAAGAAATATCCTTTTCAGAAACTTTACTGGGGAGTAGAGTTGACCTTAATCATAAGGCACCTTACTGAGCAGATAATTTAACTATGCAACACCTCATCTGCAGTAGATATTTTTACATTGTTTTTGATTAAGACAAATTATTGAAGAGATGGCCAGAATTTGCGTGGTATATTTTTAATAGGAGTGTAAAATAAATACTGCATGTAATTTAAGTCATATATTGTTTTAGCCTGTGTAAAACACCACCTTCACAGAATCACAGAATGGTTGATGCTGAAAGGGACCTCTGGAGATCAGCAAGTCTAACCCCATAATATGTTTTTCTTTTGTGAAAATGAAAATCCAGGTTTGACCGGGGGACTTTTCAAGCTGTAAAATTACTAGTTGTTGGATAGGTATTTTGAGACCTGGTGTGCACAGAGACACAACTACTGACTTGGTTTAGAGTGTGGGTTGTTTTTGTTTTATTTATGTATTTATTGCCTTTCTTAACTGTAGAGGTTTAAGAGATGCAGAAGGGGTTAACCTTGTTTACTAAAAGGAAGTGGCTGAAGGAAAATCCCTGTTGGACCCCAGCGGGTGGGCTCGGATGCCCGGAGCAGCCACACGCTGGGCAGGGCCCTGCAGCACCCTGGCCAGCTCCCAGCCCTCCGCTGCACCCAGGCACCCTAAAAAAACACCCTAAAATGCATCATAACCCCCCGCTCCCAACTCCGTCTCCCCAGCATAGCCCCATCCTTTGCAGTTCTCTGAGTACAGATTCGGTCATTGACTTTGGGCAGTCAGGTGCCAAGATGGCCATGTGGGAATTATTAGTGCCGAACGCAATGCCTGCGATTCTGAATACTCTTTTCTGATGCAATAACTAACATTCCTGTGTTTCTTATTATTTTTTTGTTTTGTTTCTTTTTTGCCACAGGAAGTGGATTTGGATGAAAGGTTTGGAGAGTTGGATCTCAGAAATGATTCAGACGTTCCTGATGTTCCCCCATCAACAGATACCACTCCAGAAATCCTCAAAAGGGCACTGTCAGGCTTGTCCGCCAGGTATAGAACAACAAACAAGTTCTCAAATTTGAGAGCTGAGAAGTAAAATTATTACAGATTGTATTACAGTTTTAATTTCCACATGACACTCATAAAAATTGAAAATTATTTAAAATCATAATTGATTTATTTATGTTTGAATAGCCCTTTTTATTTGATTTATATTTGTGCTATTTCATGTTTATATAGGACATAATACCTAAAGACTGCCCACTGCATGCATTTCTATACAGATCATTGAAATTATTTCAGCTTATTTCAGCATTTGTGATTGTTTCCTTTAAGCATTGCCATAAAATAAGCTAAAGAATATTAAGTGGGTTTGACTTCCAGAAAATGTGTTTCTATGTGCCTATAATACACTGACTTCATCCATTCAGTCTGAACCAC